AACGCTAAGGTCCAAATTGCGGCTTTTTCGACCATTTCCAGGTAGCCCCCACCATTATCCCGCTATCTCCAAAACATCTCAACAACACCTCGAAGACAACTCCAAGATATCTCAACAACATCTGTAAGACAACTCCAAAACAACAACAACATCTCCAAGACATCTCAACAACACCTCAAAGACAACTCCAAGACATCTCAACAACATCTCCAAGACAACAACAACATCTGCAAGACAACAACAACATCCCCAAGACATCTCAACAACACCTCAAAGACATCGCAATATCACCTCAAAGACAACTCCAATACATCTCAAAGACAACTTCAAGACATCTCAACAACAACAACAACACCAATAATTTTCTCGCTAAGCTTCAAAATTTCTTTAACATGCTCACCTACACCAACCATTGTTGTTGTTGTTGAGTTGTCTTTGAGGTGTTGTTGAAATGTCTTGGAGATGTTGTTGAGTGTCTTGGAGATGTTGTTGTTGTCTTACAGATGTTGTTGAGATGTCTTGGAGTTGTCTTTGAGGTGTTGTTGAGATGTTTTGGAGATAGCGGGATAGTGGTTGGGGCTACCTGGAAATGGTCGAAAAAGCCGCAATTTGGACCTTAGCGTTTTCTTATGGAGATTTACATAAGGTTTGCTGTTGAACTGTCCTAGCACCTCTACTAAAATCATTCTCTTATTTTCCGCTTTATAGATAAAACATTGTACATCATACGTGTGCTTAAACATGACTAGAAAACTCGTGTGATCTTTCACAGTCGTTGTTGTAATCATGTTCATAAACGCACTTGTTATGTAAATAACTATTGTCGTTGTCTTTTTAAGGACACTTACATTATGACTATTGTATTTTTCAAGTAAAACTTTGAAATTCAACTATAGGGACATCTTTGAAAATGTATTCACCTAATAAATTACGCTCCAACAAATCACCACATTTTCACCGTCATTCTCTTTATCAAGCTCTCTCTCATCATTTTCAACGAGTAATAAATTTCCACCAATTAAGACCCGTCTGGTCCCCGGGTGGGAAAAATATAATGAATATCCCAATTTAGAGCCTTTCAGGAAAGAAATAAAATCCCAGGGCCCAGGGAAGATAAAGCAATAAACAAGGATTTTGCTGCGTAATCTGCGCGCGTAATCTAATAAGAGCCTCTTCCTCTACCAGGAAAATGTAGGTTACTAGAAATTAATTTGCACAGATTAAAACGAGACTGTGGATTAGGATTTTTGAGTGTGACGCCTTTTATTCAAATGAGAACGTTGTCGGGGAAAATTGAAACCGAAAATAGACCGCAAAACACCTCATGTACATAATTTGCCAAATGAAAATCGATACTTTAATTGAAACTTTCGGAAATGTTACAAATTTATCTCTCTGCTAAAATAGCGTCGACAAACAATTACGTTACCGTAATTGAAACCGTTTTTCAATTACTGGCCATAAATTTACGACCAAAACCAGATTTTTTTTTTGGGGGCAAAAAAAATTTCTCTCATTATTTTTTAAATTGCAATTTATGTCGTTTTTAAATCACACCAACTTGATAATAATTAGGACTATTAATACTTTAGTTTTCACTAAAATTTACTCAATTGCAATTTTTGTCATTTTTATATCACACTACTTCAAAGCCAAGTTGATAATTATTAATTGCTTTTGAAACTCTATGTCAGGTTAACAATAAAGAGTGTGGCTTACTTTATGGGACAAGGGAGAGTAAAATGGAACCAATTTCGTCAACAATTTAAAAATGTAAGGATTTTCTACCTTTTGTGTCCCTCTTGTTGGAAAAAGGATCTCAGATATCCACCTTAAGGGCACCGTGTTTTTTATTTTATCAGATTTTTTTTATTTTATTTTGCGTCCTTTTAAATAAAACATGAGAGGAATTTAGCTCTAAAACATGCATGACAAGGTCATCATTTAATCATCTGAGCCAATTCAAAAAAAAGTAAAATAATAATTTCATTCTGTTTTTGCACGATTTTCCACATCATTTCTCCAGATCCGTCAACGGGAATTTAAAAACGAGCTCTGAAAAAAAAAATTCTCGCTTTTACTTTTCCAGATTTCAGTTCGGAGCAAAATTCATTAATCAGCGCCGTCATTTTTTTTTTTTTTACTCTCGCGACAAAAATCCGACTCTCTTTTTTTCCGTTGTTTTTATTATTTTTGTCTCGTTCCGGATAATCTTTTGCGACGGACCGGAACGACACAGTTTCAATGAAAATTAAGTGTTCAATAAATAATTTAAAAGTGCTTAATGTAATAATTTTTTGTCACGATCTATTTTCTAGGATCCAACTTCGAACTTTTTAAAATCTGTTTTCCAAGTCTTGAAATAAAGAGCTTTGAAATTGTTCTTTATAAATTTTCAGTTGTAATTTGTAATGTTTAAGTGTCCTCAGATCCAATCCATCAAACTTTTCTTGAATCAAAAAATCTCTGAGGTTTTAAGGACCTTTGAAATTCAAAGAAAAATTATTCAGAACATTTGGATATTGAACAAATCAAAATATGAATTTTGTTTCAAAAATTCTCATTTTGACTATGAGGATTGTTATTGCTGCAACATTTCCTCTCAATATAGAAAATAAATTGTAACAAAGTATCTGGCATTTAATAACTCTATAGTGATGAAACCGAGCCCTATAAAATAATCGCGCGTGTGTGTAAAGGATCGAAATAGAGAACTAGGTTTATGATATCATAAAACCCTCTAACGCAATAATAATTGATGTGTATTTAGTTTCTTTTTGTTTGAAGTTGAAGTATTTTCAATAAGTCAGATTTTAATATTTGCGACAAATATTATAACAAAATGTGTGTCATATGATTCTAAGTTCAATAAAAGCTCAGCAAAGTCTCAACTAGAACTTAAAATATAAATTGCATATTAGATGAAATGATTTACAAATCAGAAATTTTTAACATTTAACGGCAAACAATATTTTTGCTATGAAAAAAGGAAACATACTCTTGTTTCTTAAAAATATTCAAATATGCAATAAATGACTCTATATAAAGTATCGTCCCGACCACTTTATTTTACAAAAACGAAACACGTACAGCTCGATCCAAAATACAAAAAAAAAACTTTAAAATATCGTCCCTTTTAGTTGCGGCTGGCTTGAAAAATTATCGCCCTTTTAAACCGTCTTCTTGACTTCTGGCTTTTGTCGGAGTCGCACGTAAAAACCCGATTCTGTGGAGATTTCAATATGACTGTGTCAGGCGCGAGACAAATTTGAACTTTTTGAATAGATTAGTTCACTTTCTAAGCGAGACGATCAAATTTATTTGACCGAAAACTTTGAGAATTTGGTAATTTTAATCATACTTATGAAAATATTCAAGTGCGTTTGTGTTTAGAAGTGGAAATTTTCAGAAGAGGGTTATAAAAATATGAAATACTGAATTATCTGCGGTGAAATTATAAATTTGATTTACCATGTAATGGAGTTATAAATGTTTATTTTCTTCTCCCATTGTTTCCAATCATCAAGTTACATCCAAACTATTATCTCTGTATTTGTAGCCCTATAGAAGCATAGGCCTGATGATAGCTGAATTTTTGCGTGCCTCAAGATGGCGGATTCTGATGTTGATATTTCCGAACCTCCCGACATTTTTTTCAAATGTTGTGCTAAAAAGAAGGCTAATCTTATGAGTTCTACAGTAATATGTGTAGTTTGTGCTGGAGTTTATCATTGGAGTTGTTCCCAGAGAAAAAACTGGCAGTGATTGATAATATCAGAGTTATTTGTTGTGCTAAAAATATAACCTACAATTTGGCACAAGTAAACAAACTGAAAGGAACTGAAATGGAAAACTTTTTGTTGAAAGTGTTTGTCAGCCAGCTGCAGAAAAAAAACGAGATGTATCAGAATGAATGCACAGTCTTAAAGAGCGACTTATGTAAAATGAAGAAAGAAATCACCGATCTCAAGGATAAAAATTCCACTGCCATATTTCCAGGGTCACAAACAGTAAGTCATGTATCTTTTGCTGACAAGGTTAAATGTAAACCAGAGTCTATAATAATTGTCAAGCCTAAACAAAAACAAGAAAGTGCTAAAACAAAGAGGGAAATTAGACAAAGGATCAATCCATCTGGAATAAGTGTCTCAAAATTCCGGCAAGGCAAAGATGGGGCTGTGATTATTGGCTGCGAGGATCGAAAGGAGATTGTCTCTCTGAGAAGTAAATTGGAGGAGACTTTAGGTGCAGAATATCTTATTGCAGAGCCTGCTATGAGAAAACGAAAGCTTAAAGTCGCAAACCTAAATGGCTCTGACATAGGTAGGGATGAAAGTGATGAAGACATTGTGAAACAAATTGTGAAATGGAATAACCTAACTTGTCATAATACTGCCCTGCTAAGCCTAACTCTCGTATTTGAAAATGTTTACAAATGGCGGAAAAGCAATTTTTAATTTTTATTTATCTGCAGCTTCAACCAACCTTTGCATTATTAACAGTTGTTGCTCATATTAAGCAATAAGGGCACTAAAATCAGTATTATTACCTAAAAAAGTTCTATTTTATTGTTTTTATGCTATAAATCCCCATACGAGTAATTATTCTACTTGTATTTGGCTAATTTCCTATGCAAAAACCTCGTATTTAGCAAATACGGGTATTCAATCTACACCATTGTCAAATTTACTTAGGTTAATCATCGTATTTGGCAGATAGCTCCATTTTTGGGTTATTTTGGTTTGAAATATACGTTATATGCCAAAAACCTCCTAATTATCGATTGGCATTTTGTTTTTCAGTTTAAAATAAAAACTTTTTTTTATTACCAATTTTTTCCAATTTCCCAATAATTACCCAAATCGGAGCTGCATCCTTCTTGCAGCCAACTTCTGCAAACAATTATTGTTTCTGCAACTTTAATTGAAAAAAACGAGCAACACGTGAAATTATAATATAATATTTGAGTTACTTAAATAACTAAGTTTACACGTCTTTTACTAGTCAATAAGCTTCTCTGGAAGGTCCTCCCAAAATTTTTTTCGATTATCTGGCATGATGGAACCCAAAGCCTTGAATAAATTTTCGACTTTTTCTCGTTCAAATCCATTGGGTGCCATTTTTATGGAAGGTGTTGGAATTTCACCAATATGTTTTTTAAGTAAAAAATCGAGTTTCTTCCATTCTTCATCGGATTTGCATTTGTAGTAAATTTCAAATTCCTTTCTCTTCACCATTAATTCAGTCATTTTGGCAAGATAGAACTTAGGATTTTGGTTTTTAATTTTACTAGCTGAACTGAGATTTTTCCATAATTGGAAATCATCCACTTGCATAGACTTAATCTGTACTTTTCCTTTATTACTTGATTGTACTGCATTTTCAAAGTCTGCGAAATCATATGTCTTCTTTTGACGCTTCAGTGACTCTTCTACCTGATGATGGAATGAATCCGCAGACATGAAGGTGTGTCCTGGTTCAAAATAGTTCACATGTATGGTTTCTGCGGCTACACTTGGCGAATTTACAATATAAACCAAGAAACACAAAAAGGCCCAATTTTTGTTCTGGCTAGAGCAGTTATCAAGCCAGAGAGTAATATTTTTGACGTCCCTATGGTGGAGAAAAAATGCATTAAAAGCACTGATTATGTCTTCCTGATGTCGCCCACTAACAGCCTCATGCCACAAAACGGCAAATGGAAGAAAGTGTCTAATTTTCCCGACAGGAACAAAACTTTCATTGTAGACTATCAGGCGATGAGAAAATATAGCTTTTTTAAACATTTCCATCCTGGGTAGCATTATTACTTTCTGAAGGTCAACAGACACGCATACATTATTTTTATCTTCATTGCAGTTTTCTTTGTTCAATGCATATATTTTACGAGATTCTCTCGCCTTCTCAATATGATCTTTCCAACTACAACATTTTTCGCAATCTTCGTTTAAGGACTCAGCTGTGTGCTCTGGATTATGCATATGATAAGACTCACAGAGTTCACATTCTTCGTTTCCTAATTTGGCAAACGATATATTTTTCGATTTGAGGACTTTTCTGTACTTTTCGTATGAGCAAATGAACTCAGGATATTTTTTTCTGAAGTCCGCAAACATAAGGGTAACATTTAAATCGCTTGGTAGATATAAGCGATTAGGAGCGTGGACTCTTCTGTAGTGAGACACAGATGGATTAAATGAATCTATGTGATTCTCTATTTGAGTATTTGACATTTTGTTAGGGGGGTGTCTACCTCGTCGATCTGATTCATTATCCTGTATTTGATTTTTGCTCTTAGCGCTCGCCCACACTGACTGGACTATCCAGTCATTCGTCTTCTTGTAACCTAAAGTTGTAAGGAAAAAAATCTTACAAACACGCCTTTTCGCACCACTACCGTCTTTCAAAAAATATGTAAAAGTTTTGTTTTTCTTTGAGCCTTCTACTTTGCGCCTTGGTATTTTATTTTCAGTGGAATTCATAACAAACGTTCTTTTTTGTTTCCAGTCTAATTTCCAATATTCTTGATTTGTTCTTGTTCTGTCCTCTTCTGAGAAAAAACTGTGACACTTAAATTTACAATTTATGCAACCTGGTCTAATTGTATGTAGCGAAATTATGTTATTTCTCTTAATTTCAGTTCTTACACTTTTGGAATGTTTATATTTTTTTCTTCTTCTGTTTTCACCTTTTTTGGTGTGGGTTTCAACAGTTTCATCTGGATCTAAAAATATAATTTACAATGGAAACAATGTTTGTCAAATGTGTAGATAGCATAGAGTTATTGATAATTACCTACCTATTATTTCCTCAGGTGCTTCAATTTCATTTTCATTAATAGCCTCAGTCTCTTCCTCTTCCATTTCTTCAGTTGCGTTATCTTCTATTTGATCGTTTTCGTTCTCATCATTATTATTAATTCTATCGTCCTCCATAATTTCAATCTCATTAATTTTGATTTGACTATCTGAGCTATCTTCAATATTGATATTATTTTTGCTGAATGCCAGATATTCGCTCGTCTCTCCATCAACTTCTTTTTCAACGAATTTCGAGTAACTTCCTTCCAAATCTAAATTTAGAACAAGAAGTTATTGACTATTATTTTTTTCATAACAATCATTACCAGTTCCACCAATGATATTTGTAATGTCTCCATTATTTGATATAAGAATATCTTCTAATAACTGGTAATCTTCATTTCTGAGATCTGTGCAAGGGTTTTCTTTCGCCCCTGGAAATTAATAATTGTGTCCCTTTACAAATATTCATCGACGTACAACTTTAAACGTAAAAAAATGATATAAAACAAAAAGACCCAAACAACTAATGTTTAGGACCTTTCAATGCTTATAATATCAATATGAGATCGTTACATTTTTTTAACTAAATAGTATTTATTTTTTACTTACAATTAACAACACCTGAGTTACCTGAGTCCAAGTTTGTAATATTATTCAGTTGCGATTCATTATCATCATCATCATCATTACTTGGTTTGTTATTATAACTTGGATCATCTAGGTTACCCAAGAAAACATGATCTTCTGTAAACACTGGAAGCACTTTTAAAGTGGTAGCTAGCAAAACTAGTTTTTTTCCTCTACTCCCGTTACCCCACGAACTCATTTTTTTCTAACTCAAATTTCACAATTCACTGCTCACTAAAATGAGAATTTGTTGCAATATTCAAAAGACTACTACGACCGACGCCGCATCCTACAAAAACGTTACCGGCAAACTTAAATATAAACAAATCGTATTATTCTGGCTGCACTGCAAAAGGCAGGATTCAACAGGTCCAGTTTCTACGCTCAAACCACGTATTTGGAAGCTACTAAGCAAAATACCCGTATCTGATTAAAAATACGGGCAGTGCGCGTAGTAAACTAAAAATACTGGGTTTAGCCTTAGTATTTCTTGAATTATTTTCAAATGCGGGTTTTTTAATATCCGATTTTATATATTTTCGGTTCAGATATGGGGATTTAACGAAGAAAATATCGAAATTTGTGATATATAAGATGCTAAAGCCAAAAATCTCATTTTTCATTTTTTTTTTCAAATACGGGGGTTAGGCTTAGCACGGCAGAATAGCTTTCATATGAGAGTTGTGAAAAGGAGTCAAAATAGACACAAAAATGTAGACCTCATTATTGAGGTAGATCCCATAACTCACAAGGTGCTTCTAGATAGAGTGAAAATCAATTTTGGGTGGTCCAGGGCATATGTGTTCAATCATGTGCACATTTTGCAGTGTTATAATTGCATGGGATTTAACCATTGGGCCAAAGACTGCTCAGCAGCAAAGGTTTGTTCCAGATGTTCAGGAAATCATTCATTCAAGGATTCTGAGTCAGCAGATCTCAAATGTGTCAATTGTATTAAAGGTAATCAAAAAAATATATTTCTTAAGTTAAGTACATCACATGATGCCCTTGACAGAGATTGTCTTGTTAGAATGAACTTAGTACAAGAAGCTAGTAAAAGGATAGACTATGTTGGATCTACAGAAGTTAACTAACTGGGTGATTGTATAGATAAATACATTTATATATATATATATATATATATATATATATATATATATATATATATATATATATATATATATAGGTATATTTATATTTGTATAGGGATCAAATTATAAAACTAAATCTATGGCACTACCATTCCAACATACTAAAACCGGGACTAAAACTAAAAATTTTGTACTTAGCTTGGCACATTTAAATTTGAGATCCATTTTTACAGGCTTCAATGAGTTTGTAAGCCTAGTTCAGAGGAATAGTTTTGATATAGTGGCCCAAACTTGGCTGACAGAGGACACAGCATCTGATTTATTGAGGATTCCTGGATACAATTTTTATAGAAGGGATCGAGGTCAGGGCAGAGGTGGTGGAGTGGGTTTTTATGTGAAAACCTCATTGTGAATGTCTCAATTTATCAAGCCCCTTAATAATTGAAGGCTATGAGCACTATTGGTTACGTATAAATCTGGAAAAAGCAGTTTCGATATCAGTTGGTGTAATCTATAGGGTGGGAAATAATGTGGCGGAGTGGGTAAATGTACTGGACGATCTACTACTAGAACTTTTACCCATAGATGAATACATTGTTGTATTTGGAGATTTAAACATAAATATTTATAATCCTGTATATAAGTTATTTGATAGCGACGGGTTTATCCAGGTGATTAATGAGCCAACCCGTGTAACTGGCACAACTGCTACACTGCTCGATCCGATTTTTGTAAATGATAGTCAGGTAGTAAGGGAAAGTGGTACAATGGATTCAAATGGTGAGAGTGACCATTTCTTGACATTTTGTAAAGTAAAGGGTTAAGAAGTTTGAAAAGTTTTTGACAGTGAGAGATTATAAAAATTTTGATTTTTTTTAAAATATTTTGTCAGAAATACATTGGGATGATTTGTACTACATCCATGATATTGAAGACAAAGTAGAATTTTTTACCCAGAATGTAAAGCAGTTGTTTGACATATTTGCACCAATTAAAACGATTAGAGTAAGTAAGCCCTATTCCCCATGGCTCACTTTTGCAATTAGAGCCTTGATGAGGGAAAGGGATAAGGCTAGATGCAGGGCTAAAATGAATAAAACTGCAGAAAATCTTGATGAATATAAAAGACTCAGAACTTTCACTAAAATATCAATACGTAGAGAAAAGTCAGCATACCTAGACTATTTAGAAAGGCAGAAAAATTCCAAAAAAGTCTGGCAAACTTTAAGGGATTTAAATGTTTATATGCCAACGAATAAAATCTCAGATATTCCTCTAGCACTGGCGGATTCAGAAAGAATAAATGGGTATTTCTGCAGTGTTTTTCTAAAAACAAACAACTGTATTAGTAGAATTTTGTATTATAATGGTAATAGGAAAGATGATCAAATTAAATTTACTTTTGGCATGGTGCTTCCATCTGAAGTTTGCAAGTATATTCATAGTATGAAATCGAACGCAGCTGGTATTGATGGCATCACCCTACAAATGTTGAAACAATGTTTACATGTTGTTATACTACATATTACCCACATTATAAATTGCTGCCTTGAGAGGGGATACTTTCCCAACCAGTGGAAAGATTCTATTGTCTGTCCCCTGCCCAAATCTTATTCTGAACCGGATAATTTCTCGGATTTGAGACCAGTCAGTTTGCTTCCTGTTATTTCTAAAATTTTGGAAAAAGTAGCACATGCCCAGATAACAGAATATTTCAATAATAATAAGTTTTTTCCAGTACACCAATCAGGCTTTCGGGGGGGTCACAGCACAACCACAGCTCTCTTGAATATTACCGATAATATTGTAAAAATACTTGATAAAAAGATGGCTTGTTCTTTTTTTGGGAACTATTTGAGAGTTCGAATTGTCAGGTTGCATGGAAACATCTCTCAGCCAAAAAGTGTTGTCTCAGAGGTACCCCAGGGGTCTATATTGGGGCCGTTGTTGTACATTATTTATACAGCAGATATGTTCTCAAGTGCTTCATTTTCTCATATTCAGTCATATGCAGACGACACACAATTGTTGTTTAGTTTTGATCCTGATTATCCGGAGCGGGCCGCGGAGCTCTTGAATTTGGACTTGTCAAATGTAGTCAAATTTTCAAGGGAGCATAACTTGAAGATTAATCCCAATAAGACTGAAATATTGCTTTTTTGTTCGGAGGGCAAAAGAAACAGTCTTCTAAATAGGCTCTCTATAGAAATTGATGGAGAGGTATTAGTATTTGCAAACTGTGGAAAAAATTTGGGCATATATATAGACATAAATTTATCCTTTCAGAAACATATTTCAACTCTTTTAAAAAAAAGTTATATGAAAATGAAACTGCTATACGCGAATAGATATATATTAAACTTTAAAACTAGGAAAAAATTATGTGAAGCTCTCATTATGTCTATATATTCTTATTGTTTTATAGTGTACTACCCATTTTTAAATGCCGTTACTAGGAAAAAAATTCAATATGTCCAAAATACTTGTTGTAGATTTGTATATAAATTAAGAAAGTTTGATCATGTTTCTGCTAATATTAAGGCGTTGGGTTGGCTCAAATGTGATAATGGTTATAATTATAATATTACAGTATTTTTAAGAAAGTTAATAATGAACAAAGAACCTATTTATTTGTATGAAAAACTTATTTTTAGAGAGGCTGTGCATAGTCGTAGTTTAAGGGATAAAAATTTTCTAACAATGCCACATCATAGAACTTCATTGTTTCAACGGGGTTTTACTTATAATTCTGTGAAATATTTTAACAAATTACCTGGGCAATTTAAAGAGTGCAATTTTAGTTTTCTGAGATCTAGATATAAGCAACATTTGTTAGCAATACAGTAGTTTATATAAGTTTAGTAAGGAATAAATTTCTCGAGTAGTCTTGGAGCTGGATGAAAATGTTCTTAGGGCTTTAGTGTTGTTTCTGTGACTAGGTATTAGTGGGTCTGGTGCAAGTGGTTAAGTGGAAGAATGGCCACAAGGTTATACTTCGCCATTTTGCACCCTTCGCGATGTATAAATCTATGTACTTATTAATTATTAATTATAGTATGGTATGTATACATTTCGTGAAGTTAAATAAAGGCGATATTTATTTATTAGTAGAAGATATCTTTGATGATTGATTGATGTTAGATTTGAAAATTTTACTGTTGCAGCTTGTCCATGGAAGGCTGAGAGTTACCAGAAGGATAGCGAGTTCTCCATAGTTGCATCTTAAAATGTTGTTGAATATCTATGGTACTAACCTTTCGCATTTCTTCCAGCAGTTTCTTCATTGAGTCTTTGGAAATAGAGTCAAATTTCATTTAATGGTGGATCTACATACTTTTTGGTGTAGTATGTAGTGAGTTGAAATGTTTATTCTGCTTTTCAGCCTTTCATAAATATTTGTATTTTAATGAGAAGACAATCACAGGGATCTCGGCCAAAACAGTCTATATTACGTTAAACTTCTGAACATTATATGTTTTTTCCTAGAATAGTCAGTCAGTTAATAGTATATTCATATAATTGTAACGCCCTTTCGCTAGTATAAATTTTCAGATCGTTAATAAAGTAATTTTTTGAAAATCAACCCCCGCTTTCTGACTTGTTAACTGACGCAGTCCACAGAACGTGTTTTTTCGGGACTGATTATCGGTTCTTCAATATTCGAACTAACTGGAAAAAACGGACCTACGTTAATTGTTTACTGTGAGGTGAACCTGCTACCTCGAAGTAATCGGAGCTTGGAACCAGATTGTCCAAATCTCGCAAGGACCAAGAACCATTTGGACGGACCATATCGCAAACCAAACCTCTGAGCCTTATAGCAATGAAATTCTTCAGTGCAATTTAACTTATGTCAGACGTAGATGAAATTATTGAGAAATTGAATAATTTATCACTACCGCCTTCAACTGACTCATCTTCTGATTCGGAAGATTTAATTAGAATAATTAATTAAACATTTTCTGAAAGTAACGGTGTTGGAAGCACATCTAATAGGTAATTAAAACATTAGCATTGTTCCAAATTTAAACTCTAACAATATGACCCACTTTAAGCCAGAGTACCTAAGCTGTGTACCACAATTTGACGGAAATTTGAATAATTTGAA